AAGGGGTCGCTATCCAAGCTACGAACAAGTAAATGGACTATTGAGCACTTTTAAAGTGTGTTGCAGTGTATGATTTGTTTGTTCAGTCAAAACTGACGCGCTCTTCTTGCCTTCAGTAAATCAAGAATAAGTATAAACAATCACCTAATTAGGTGCGACTAATTTTATAGTCTGCTGATCTTTCAGTTCGTCTTATCGCTGGCTTGCGCATTAATTAAGAAGGACAAGGACTCCCCGATCTCTGCACTCAAACTCACAATACGAGCCTGTTGTTGTACTTCCATTGCTCATGGAGTATCAGTCATGATTGACATTGTCATAAATGCAGTACTGAGAGAATCAAAGCTCTTGGGCCAATGGCCTTCTCATCAATTTTCTTTCGAAAATGGATGAAATTACAGCGAGCTGTGTTATGGAATACTTAGCATGAGTTTCAGAAACGTGCCCGGAATACCTACTGAGCGGAAAAGTTAAGGCAAGCAGAGATGGTGCAAAGGTCATCTGCTGAAACAGTTAAACACCGCCTCGAGACTCACGTTCTTGGCTTTCCCTTGATTTTTTTAAACTTTTATCTATCTCGTATCTTTTGTAACTCAGATTGTGGACTTTTTTAAAATGAAGAAATTGAAACTCTATCGTAGCTTTCCTAAGTAGCACCAGCATCATACATAATACTATTTTCGGTTTGTTTTCCTTACTTTTTTGAAGCAATTTCCTAGTGTTTATGCTATGGATTCGATTACAAAGACCATTTTACACGACAGGGGTTTTAAAAATGTGGGTTTTCTATGTATCCGTTTTCTTTACTTGGGTTCGGTTTCGTCCGTTTACAGGATATGCTCAATTCCTGTTAAGACACAACAAAAACAGGGTTGACAACGCTGAGTCATTAATCAGTTTATTTTGATTTCCGTAAAAACACAGAAAGGAGCTTTGGACATACCACCAGCATCGACCAGCAATTTTGTCTTCCTGTTATCTCAACATCCACTCCACTGTTTTTGTTTTCATTGCGAAGAAGCTGTAGCTTTTGTGCCAAAACATTGATAAGATGATGATTACTCTGTTAAACCCACGTAAAATGTTTCTTTATTTTAGAAAATGACAGGCGCCCCCACCAAATCTCTTTCTTATATCTTCGTTAAGTATACTGAAATAATCACCAACAAAAAAATCTGGCCTTATATTTTGAATGGAAATAATTTCTGGGATATTTTCAGCTGTGGCTAGGTTAAAAGAATGTAGAACGGGCTGGCTAAAATGCTAAATACGTTATGCCATACTTTGAAATGTCTTTATTGAAACTGTTTTGATTAATTTTTCTCGAGTCTTAATGGAACCTCCTAAATAATGACAAACCTTTTGCTCCTTCCGTTGTGTTGTATTCGTTAGTGTATATTCTATTACGAAATTTAATAAAAACAATTCTACTTAGTCTAATTTACATATAACGCTTTCACGATTGCAATTAATTAAGACAGCACTTTTCTTTAGGTATAGCTTGTATGAAAACGACCTGGTGGTCGCGAACATAGCCAAAAATCGTACTCTTTTTTCTGAGAGATGCTAAAAAGGAAAGGAAGTAAAACGCGTAATTAACTTTCCTTAATTGTGCACAAAACGTTTCTCTGTTATGGAAAAAAAAAAAAATGCCCGTCAAATGTGTTTCTTGAATCGTTTTAAAGCAATGATCACTAACAAAGCAAATCTAGCCGAATAGTTTGAATGGATATAATTTCTGGGCTTTTTTCAGGTGTGGCCGGATTAAGAAAAATAATCGAGCTTTGATGCCAATCGCTTAACGCAGCTGACATGAAAAAAGTTGTTTGCTCTGTTTTATTTTAGTTATTGTCGTTTCATTAAAAATAAAACCCCTTGGTTATCAGCGTATTACATTTTCCTTTTCTTTTATTTTTAAAGTGACAGTAAAGAGGGACATGGGTTTCCTGTATATTACACCAAACTTAAATTTGAATAATAAACATAACTCCAAGGGGCTTATTGCTGATAAAGAGTGTCAACTTGATAGCTAGCGCTTTCCGAAGCCCCAGCGTAGTTTTGCTTGGGCGATACAAGGTTTCATTTACATTAAGAAAGTAACATTTATCGTACAGTACAGATACTGCCATGCAGCTGTCTACTGGAGATATTCGGCTGGTACCTTATGCTGATAACGCCACTGTAGTAATGTTATCTCCCTTCCGTTTCAAGGGAGGGCTCTCTTAAGATAATCCCTTCATTTTTTGTTACGGACTAACCAGCAAGCGATTCAGTAGTGTAACTTTCATGTTTATTGTAAATTCGATAGTTTGACTGACGAATATCGGGAGACAGTTCCTGCTTTGGAAAATGACTTCAAACGATGGTTCATTTGCATGTATCATTTCTTGAGTATAGAGCACGTCCAAAACTTTCAATTATGTTCTGAAATCGAAGACGTCTTTCGTAAGATATGCACTAACTGAAAGATTTTACAAAAAAGAATCTGTAATTAAAAATTAGTGATATAAGTACATTGTGTGCAAGGAGTAACTGAAATTTTAAAAAAAGAAAACGAATCTGCAATAAAAGCTTAGTGATATATTAAGTACTTTGTGTACAAGCGGTAGGAGGATGTTTGGGTTATCAATTTGTCCTTTGTTTCTGTCTTCAAAACCCAAATCACTAAATTTAAAACTCACTGCCTGTGGAATGTCTCAGATCATTTTTGTAAAAATAAAGGCTGTGTTTTATAGGTCTTTTTACAAGTGATAGAATCAGTCCTCATTCATGACTCAAAACGTGTTGTATTTGATGATAGAGGCATTACGGAATTATCTTTGTACATGTAGTTTATACCCTGTTCACCGCCAGAACGGCGCCTTGGTTCCTCTAGGCAATCGCTGTAAGTGTTCATAGCCCGATATCCATCTTGTAAAGCTGTAGCCACATTGAATAAACAAAACTTTGAATGCCCAATCATTAATTGTTGGTCGCTTTTTTTTCTCATAAACGGGATTGAAGGCCGAAGTTCACAGGATCTTTAAAACGGTCCAGTGCAATGTCCGTTCAGATTTGTACTTGTACACAGTAGTAATCACGCAGTACATCCTAAGAAGTGAATAGTTTACAAGTTGTACGGTAAACGGAACCCGTCATTCTCTCACCTTTACACAATTAGTGGTGGTCGCTAATGGCTTCTATTGAGCGAGTAAATGCTCATTTGAGGTTGTTGTCTGTTCAGTTGTCCTATTTTAGAAAGGGCGCTTTGTCTAGCTGGCACTTAGGGCGATCTTTTGTTATTGTTTGGTTGTTCTGCGAACTGATGAGCGTCATTTAGCGAGTACACAAATTGCAGTTTACTGTAGGCAGTAGAGGCTGTCTTGTAGCCTTAATTCAGCCGTTTTCAATCAAACTTAATTACAAAAGCCTACTTTCAATCGCTCGCGTTTGAATTCTGTACCGAAACAAAAAACGTAATGTTTTGTTCAAACTCCATCAGCGCTTGGAAATTAAAGCATTTATTCCACCTCAGTTTTTTTAAAAACCACGTGCCCCAGTAATCTACCAGACAATGAGCGAGCTTTAATACGAAGGCATAATGTTATTTTAATCTTTAATTTTTGGTATTGAAAAAAAAATATATATATATATATATATATCGCGATATTTTTATGGCTCTGTAGAGAAAAATACAGCGACGGGCTTTCACCTTTATCTTGGCTCCCAAATCGACGTAATTTTTAGTTATAAAGATATTATTAAACATGTACTACCAAATTAAATTATGAGTTTCTTTCATCCTCTTAAGTGGGTCGCACGCAGCCGTCATTAAGATGAAGTATAATTTGAGTAGTTTGCCGCAACTTCAAAAAATATTCTCTAACGCGAAACAACGCACGAAGAGACCTTCCTGTAGCCTCAATAATAAAGCAAGATCTTTTTCCAAGCTAAAATGTTTTTGTTTGTTCAAAATTGTTTTCTTTAGTGATTTTTCATCTTGACAGTACATTATCTTAGGATAGCTGAAACCGGAGAAGGCATTTTATTTTGTGGTTTTCGACGAATTCAGTTTGTTATTTCAAGGCCAGCTTAGGTGCCACCACTTAAATTCAGATGGTTTCGATTCCCCCGCATTTTAAAGCGATGCTTGCCTGCAATAAAGTCAAGTGATAGGATATTCAAGTTAGTATCTTCAGTCACCGACTATTTGATGAAAGCGATTACAAAAAAATTCCTGTTATTACTGAAAATTGATTTTCCCATATTATACACGCATCTCTAAATAGAACACTCCGCACAAAGGGACGCGATGATAATTTAAATGGCCATTAGCACCTTCAAACGATGTGGCATTCTCTGTTGCCACTGGGCAAACAGGAAACCATGGCATTCGAGAAAAGAAATGCTAACATTGAGAAAACTAAACCTGGCTTTAGTTATTCACTTCCATTAAGGCCTTTTTCAATTCCCGATGCATTTAGGGTCTTACGTTGGTAATGGATCGAACAGATGGCGCAGTCTTCGGTTTCACTTCCGTCACCGATCAAAGTGCCATGGGGTAGCTCTTTGGCCTGTCTCGTTGGCTTTTTGCTCTAGTTGGTATACGGAGGGAATTCTATCCATGTGAATGTCACATTAAGGGGAATCCATTAACCACGCTGTAAACGAACTATCGTGTCCTTCAAATACGTGTCGTGGGAGGGGCACCTAAATGAGTATTAAAGAAGTGTTTTACAATCACATTAAGCCGCGGAATAAAAGCTCTTGTAATGAGCACTAATGAGTCTCTTTGTAGTCGATGAACGGTGGACTATAATCAAATTCAGCCGAAAATAATTGCATTTCGGGTGTCGCAATGATACTTATCAGTCGTTCTGTCATTCTCGCTGAATGGATAAATCGTCAAAAAGCAATGATTTTCGACAGTTTAAATTCTTGTGGACGATCAAGGGTTAACCAATCACCCCTCGGATGTAAGACTTCAGGGATCAATTAAAGCTGAACCAATTCAAGGGAAATGTAGACAAACATGTCACCCTGGGCTTTTTATACATTTTTATTTCATCCTCAATGAAGTCGCGATTCTATTTTAGAACCCCATCGTCTAGCCCTGCTGGACGCGACCTGAAACTTTCGGACTCTAAAAGCAAAGGAATTCTTGAAAGGAAAAGCGTGATTTCGCGTCTTGCGATTTGTATTTATTTAGACTACATCCGTTCCATGCTTGTTTTCCTGCACTCCCAAACCTAGATACGTGCTTTTCAAATGTGTAATGGTAAGGCAGAAAAACTGACTGAGACAATTACTCCAGCTCTGCTTATGGGTTACTGATGCCCGTTCGTATTGAATCGCTTCGATCCCTACGTGAAGGATTATGAAAAGTTTTTGAAACTAATTTAAGGCTAGAATTATTAACACACATTGTCTCTTTCCATTCCTTATCCACTCCTTATCAATGTATTAATTTGTAAGTGTGACAAATTTATTTCTTGTTCGGTTTTTTCCCCTCATCTCTTGACTTCACTGTACACTATTATACACTCTTGTTAATCTTAATCTCGGATTAAAGGTAATTAAGAGTCTAACACTCGCGCAATCTGTTTTCGATGATGTAAGTAAACTTTAACAGAGTACACCACTCCAGGTAATTCACCGGACACAAGTGATGCACTTCCGTAGCTTACCGTTTAAACGTTATCCTTTACTAATCTTCAGCACAAGCGAGTCTTTTGCAAGCCGCGTTTCGCGACAGTTGAAGTTTTAGGTTCAGTTGCAAGCAGACAATCATAAACGGCAGCGATTAAAATATTTGCTCGCTACTCTTTGCCTGTCACTGTCTTTCGTGTTGGCTCGTTTGATGTAAAGGGTCTGTTTGTTGTTGTAGGTAGGACGTGATTTAGCAATCGTGAAGTCATCTGTAGAAGAAACCACAATGGGGAGCAAAGCCTTGAGTGCCGAAAGGCGCCATCGATAGAGTTGATAACCCTATGTCTTCATACTGTTTGTGGTCGTCACGAACTAATACTCGCACTGCGACTTTCTTCGCCGCACTCGGCGGACAAATCTCGGATGCTAGTTGACGGCGTTTTGTCTTGTATCGTCTGTTCTGAAACCAGATTTTAACTTGTGTCTCGGTTAGTTTTAGAGCACTAGCAAGCTCTGCCCTCTCAGGTCCAGACAAATATTTTTGATGGCTAAAGCGCCTCTCCAATTCGAAAACTTGGGCATGAGAAAAGGCTGCTCTCGATCGCTTCTTTCGTGGTTTGGCTTGCTGTTGTGGACTTGAAGTCGAGGTGTGGTTGACGTCTCTCTCCGGCTGGTTTTCTGTATTAGAAAAGCAAAAACCTCAAATCAGATCAGGTATTCTATGATTTAAGTTGGCTTAATTAACACAAATTACGTTAGTATGCAAGAAGCCAACAACGTTCTATTTAATCAGGCTAAGAGCAACTTAAGTAACTCACTGTGAACTTTTGCTATTTCCTCTCCTCGTTGTGTACTTTCCTCTGCATTTCTTTCTACGCATAGTGAGGGACGTGCTGAGGGAATCTGCGAGGCGTTGTAGGTTTTGTAGCAGCTAAGTTGATGGACGCCTGGTAGAGCGGCTTGAAAGTATGTTGGCAACGGCAAATACGTCGGAGAAGCCGGATGAGTATGTCCCGGGTGCTGAGTCCAAGTAACGAAGTTGTTGTTATTCTGCTGTGGGACATCGTGCCGGTTCAGAATATCTGTAATCGAGAACGGGGTGACTGGTGATCGCATCGCTTCGTTCATGTTGTTATTCTCTCCACTCGGGCACGCAACAACGTCGAGAAGGAGATGATTGCAGTGTTAGAGTAAAGGACTCACGCTGCTGGCCGAAACAGAAATAGGATACCACCCGTAGCTGTGAACCCTAAAAACGGTACTTGGAGACCTACAGGAATTTTTACAATATCATTATTCAACGATAAGAAATCAAAATTGAGCATTAATCGCCCATTGGTTGATGTCCGCGTATCAGGTAGTGGCTGTTGATAAGAAAATCTGGCTAATCAGGCGTTCTTATTGGCTACTTGCTTCATTTACGTAGTTTGTTGACGTTCTGTTAAAGAGTGCTGACACAATGCAATTAAGAACACACGGCCTCTCAATTACGCATGGATTGGGGGGCTTCTGAACGAGCCATCAAGATGTGAGATCGAAAGATCAAGAGTAGGTGCAAATTACAACGCGCTTTTCAAAACACTTCTTGTTTATATAGATAACTTCCCCGAGTCCAGGGAGGTTAACTTGTTTGGGGTATAAGTTTTCATTATTAAGGTGATACATGTTACTGTAAGATACTTCTGGCTGATAACAACAGTCATAACCTCCCTATGCAATTTCTTGCTTTTGGGAACTTGATCTTGCGCCAGGGGCCGTTACGCTAGTCAGTTGACTTCAAACACGCAGAATTATTCAATTGGTTTTAATTTCTAGGGGATCTTCTTTTTGAAAAGTCGAGAAACCCGACCGTCAAAGGCGAAAAGCTCACTAGTGACAGCTTTCGTGGGAATAGACTAGATGGGTGGCACTGACAGTTTTGTTTTGTGAGTCTTCTTGTGGAGGGCTATTTAGTCGATAATGACTTCTCACCTCATGCCAATCATTGTGACGATTCTGCATACGTGTTAATTCGTTTATTATTTTACTATTGTCAGGTAATGTCGCTTAATGATTGCAGTGATTGACGTCTGAACAAAAGAGAACGCGCCATCTGCTGTGAGCCCATTGTTAACAACGTTTACTTGCACTTTAGGACATTTCCATACAAAGCGGAGCTGGGGCAGATTTTTTATTCTGGTCTCGTTTTACCTCTCAACGGAAACTCAAAGAGTAGGAAGTGGTTTGAAAGGAACACAGGCAATTGAAATGACAATATTGAGTCATTTAAAAGGTTTTTACTTGAGTGTGGATTGCTTTCAAGGATCTGAAATCGACATCATTAACATGAGGCTCGTGACAGTCATCAACTTTTGTTAGCTAATGCGATTACTTTGCTCGGGAGAATTCGAATATTCTTTGCTTCTTCCCCTTTTTAGCCTGTCCACTCATACTTAAGTTACTCAAAGAAGCGTAAAAATAAAACACGCTCCACTCACTTGATTTTTCGAGCGTCTTTTTTTTTTTAAACTTAAATACTGAATTTCAATTTTATTCTTTTTTATTTTTTGCAGGCCGGCTTTATTTCAAAATCAATTTTGCCGCAAGTGCCTCCCCGGCAATTCGTCAGGTGTTACATTACTTTCGCTTTATCCCTCTATTATTTATACAAGATCGATTGCCGCGTCGAAATTAACTCGATTTCTTAAAGAGAAATTCGAAAATTAATCGCAAAATTATATTTTTTTGTTTTAAATAAAATGCCGCATAGATTCTTTCCTATACAGAGTTAGAAATGACTCAATTAGCGGTGGCTGTATTTCAAAAAAGGGGTTTCTACTAATGGAATATTCCACGGAGAATATTTTCGGCGTTTGCTTTTAATATCGCCCTTCAGTTTGCACCACAGTTCACTTACGATCGTTTAAAACATGAAAGAAAGGCCCACCGAGGAACAAGGAAATTCAAGGATATCGCAAACTCAGTCCAGATGCAATTTTTCATTGTGATATTTTATTCGTTTTTAAGAAAATGTGTTGAAACAAACTAAACATTAAAAAAATATGTAAGTTGTAAGTTAAAAAAGTTTGAAAAGGCAGTTACCGATGGTGTATTAACAGCTGACATGGACAA